AAAATATTTACACAGAAGAGGACACTTATTCATGCCATCCAAATCCCGATACAATTAGAATAGGAGCACTCTACCTATGCAGGGCAAAATCTGTCCCTGAATATTAATTTTACTTACAGTGAGAGCATTAACGTACCTTTCATATTTGCCTTTGGTCCATTACACTGTCTCCGTGTGCATACTTCACAAAGCAGTTTATTCGCATCTCGAAGTTTCTCGTTACGGGTGAACTGATATAAACAATGTTGGATTGAACACTCATCAGTATTGAAAACTTCCCTGTTTGCAAGAGTACAGAAAGCAGTTTCTGGATCTTCATTTACAACCTCATACACCTTTGTTCCAGGAGTATGACTGTCATTCAGAATCTCTATATTTATTTCATCAGGATGAAGAGCAGCATTCAAATTTAGGTTTTTGAAACCATTGGAAATGTCCACTTCTCCATTGCTCGCTTCCGTTAGGTAGGCACCATTTAAATTCTTAGTACATTCAGTGGGAGAAGATGTTAAAACCTCCAGATCATTATCCATGTTGATACTTTTCATATCGACTTCCTCTGTGGATTTTTGATTGTCAGTTACACCTTCTATCATTTTTTCTTGGCCATTCAAATCTTTCTGGTTGACACAATATTCTTTATGCATAACACCCTCTTGTGAAATATGGTTGGATTTAATATTTACTTCTCCTTGAAGTGACATTTCAGCTTCATATTCATTATCTTCAGGATGGTCAATAGTACAAATATCATTTAAATGAAGAACTTTTCCTTGAATTTTTTGTTGTCTTCGTTGGTTCTGGGTAAAAAGTATAAGACATTAAAAAAGAAAGAAAGAAAAAAAAAGAAAGAGAGGGAGAAAAGGAAGAAGAGAGACAAAGGAAGAAAGAGAAAGCACACACATGTACTATATCCAGTTTTGTTGCTTGTCGATCAAAAATAATTTCCTAAGGAAGAGTTCACTCTCACAATCTGATCCTAAAAAGTTCCTTTACTACTAAGGATCGAATAAATTGTGAAGAAATTGGCTGGGCATGGTGGCTAACACCTGTAATCCTAGCACTGTGGAAGGCCAAAGCAAAAGGATCACAAGAGACCACTTGAGGAGTTTGGGACAAGCCTGGGCAACATACTGAGACCCCATCTCTAAAAAAAAATAAAAATAAAAATTAGCTGGGCACATTGGTGTGCACCTGTAGTCCCAGCTACTCAGCAGGTTGAGGCGGGAGGATCACTTGAGCCCAGGAATTCAAGATTACTGTAAGCTATGATCATGCACACCATACTCCAGCCTGGGTGGCAGAGCAAGACTCTGTCTCAAAAAAAAAAATAAATAAATTATGAAGAAAAGTTATTTAGGCCAGGTGCAGTGACTCACACCTGTAATCACAACACTTTGGGAGGCTGAAGAGGGCGTCTCACTTGAGGTGAGGAGTTTGAAACCAGCCTGGCCTACATGGTGAAACCCCAACTCTACTAAAAACACAAAAATTAGCCAGGCGTGCCTGTAATGCATGCATGGGTGGTGCATGCCTGTTGTCCCAGCTACTCAGGAGACTGAGAAAAGAGAATCGCTCGAACATGGGAGGTGGGGTTGCAGTGAGCCGAGACCACACCACTGCACTCCAGCCTGGGCAACAGAGTGACTCTTCCCAAAAAAAAAGAAAGAAAAAGTTATTTAAATGAAATCAGGTATAAACCATCACCAACCATCAAAAAAGCACCCTATTGCAGAAATAAAATATACAAGACATGGTCTCTGTGCTAAGAGAAGTAATCCAGGCAGAGTAATAAGACTGTTAAACCCAGGCAGTCAAATGTTATACCATATGGTGGGTCTGACTATACACCTAACAGAAATAAACGTATCCATATGAGTTATTGGGTCAAGGTTTCACTGAGATTAAAAAAAAAAAAACCAAACTGAAAGAAAACTCAAGGATGTACAAGTACAGGGCAGATTGGTCAGAGGAATGGACAAAAGTATTCTGAGAAAAAAATGGCCTGAAGTTAACAAAGAAGCAAGGTAGCCGCACTTACAGAAAAGAGTAAAGAACTTTTCTCCCTTTAAATCACTCTTGCCACTTGCAACCTACTTCCAAACAGAGAAGAAAAGAAGGCATTTCATCAAGATTCCTGTTACTGAAATGCCTAAAAACGCAAAGGGGTTAGCATTTCTGGTTGTAACTGAAAGAACAACCCGCGTGAGGC